CATGCATTTGAAACATTAAGGCCCTTGCTGTTTCGAGAAGATGTCTATTTTTCCTTTCTGCAACTCCATTTTGAGACGAAGTATCGACACAAGAGGATTGGTAAAGAATACCATATTCACTCAAATAAGAGCCAAGAGCTCCAGAAAAATATTCTTTAGCATTATCACTTCGTATAACTTTAAGAGAGCCACCAAATTGAGTTCGAATTTCAGCATGAAAGTTACGAAAATGAGAAAGTGACTCAGAACAATGTTTCATTAAATATAACCAAGTTACATGGGAAAAATCATCGACAAAGGTAACAAAGTACCGAAACTCACTTTTGGACTCAATAGGACAAAGACCCCAAACATCATTAACTAATTCAAAAAAGGTAGTAGCTCGTTTATTGACTCTAGGATACAAACTAAGTCGATGACACTTAGCAAATTGACATGACTCACAATCTAAAGAATGCAAACTATGAAATTGAGGATGAAAACTCTTTAACACGGAGAGAGATGGGTGACCCAAACGATAATGTTCTTCGAAAGGAGAGGGTACTCGAGTGCAAATGGTAGTTGTGTATCAAACGTGTAGAGGCCATTGGATTCACGCCCTTTACCAATAGTCTTCTTCGTCGTAAGATCCTGAAATAGGCAATAACCAGGGAAGAATAAGACACAACAATTGASATCACGAGTGAATTTACTAACAGAGATCAAATTAAAGGAAAATTGTGGTAAATTTAAGACAAATGTTAGTGAAAGGGATGTGGACAGATGAACTGTGTCAGAGCCAAGAACAGGAGAAGTGGTGCCATTTGCTATGGTAACATCAGGCAAAGATGCAGATGGGGAGAAATTAGCAAATAAGTTAGGGTTACTTGACATATGATTTGTCGCACCAGAGTCAATGACCCATTTTGATGCGGAGGAAATAAGACATTTACTAGTGTTATCTGACTCAACGATGGTGGTAATCGGATTAGAGGACGATGCCGTCAATGACTCTTGATACTGTTGGAACTTAGCAAATTCTTTCGCAGGAATTGTAACTAACTTGCTAGCATTATCAGGAGTAGATGCAACATGGGCAGACTGTGTTTTCAAACCTTTATTCAATAGCTTTCTATGTTTTCGTTTTGTATGACCAGGCTTATGGCAATAATTGCAAAAAATAATATCTCCTGAATTTGATTTTGGAGCACTAGAATTCCAACGTTGAGCGTTCGAAGTCGTGGAATTCCCTTGGTAGGTATTATCTCTGTTTGCATTTGTACTATGTCCAACCAAAGCACTATTAGACTTAGATGACAAGACGAGTTGTGACTTCTCAACTCGAAGTACTCGAGTGTATGCCTCCTCTAAAGCTGGAATTTTCGAACCAGAGAGTAATTGGTCTTTGGCCACATCAAATCTAAATGGAAGACCAAGAAGAAAACTGATAACTGCTAGTTATTCGCGTTGGGCAAGCCGAACTTTTGCATCATTACTATCTGGGAGTAATGCATTAAACTCTGCATAAATTCGTTTGTGTTCCATAAAGTAATTTGTAAGAGATTGGTCACCAAACTCAGGTTGGTAGAAGTGTTTGCAGATTTCAAATATTCGACTAACATTTCCTTTGCCAGAATAAAGGAACTCTAAATATTTAAGCAACTCTTTAACATACTCACATTCATTGACCAAGCCAATAATGTCACTCTCGATCGAATTCTTGATCTACAGAACCAGTCGAGCATCATCCCGCAACCAAGCTTTCTTGCTCTCATCCTTAGGCGGATCCTCAGTTGTGTGATCGTCCATATCAATACTTCACAAAAAAGACGAACATTGATTTTCCATGAAGAATAGTTTGATCCATTCAACTTGTGTTCTGTGATTTTTGATATCATTGGGATCACCTCAGAAGTTACGATTGATTTCTTCTCAGCCATAACAAACAAACAAATTTATTTGAACAAAACGACAGAATCAGACCAAACCACCCGAACCAAACAAAACAGATGAATTAAACTGCTGGAACCAAACCGGATCAGGTGTTTTCTGAAACCAAAAACCCCAAGTGCTACCCCACGACAACCAGAGGGGCGAAGGCGACGGGGTGGCGACTGGCGGTGACGAAAGCACACGACGACGGCGACAGCAATTGGCAAAGAGACGAAACCCACGAACAGCAATCGAAAAACAGCAGCGCTGGCGAATCAGCAAACGGCGTCGGCGGTGGTAGTAGTGAGTTGAGTTGGATAGCAATGAACAAAAGCCTAAAGGACAAAACCCTAATAGGCACAAAATCCTAATGGGCACAAAACCCTAATGGGCATCAAAACCCTAATGGGCACAAAACCCTAATGGGCAAGAAACCTAGAGCTCTGATACCATGTAGAGACTAAGGTTGG